TATTGCCTATTTTTGGATTGTTATTGACTGACAACTGACATAATTGAAGTTATGACTGACCCTAGGTAGCACAAGCTATAATTAGACTCAGCGCAAAACTGCAATTCACAGTATCTCTACTTTGCCAGTGCAGAATTCACAGTCTTAGCATCACAGATCAAGCGGAATACAGTAAAGCAGTCACAAAACAATTTTGGATGGAAAAGAGTCACCAGAGGGTAAGAAATGAGCAGAGGAAGGTAGGAGAAGGATGGCTATGGTTGTCATGCAGTCTGCGATTTTCAATTCCACCCTCTGACAGACAGATAAACCATGAATACTAACTAATCTAACCCTATTTGAATCGCTATACAGGTGGGTGCATGGAACGGACTCACTTTCAGAGTTTCTTGTAGAGTTGGGTGAAGATTTGGCTATGGCAGACTGAAACCCTCATCTCGCCAGCTTCTTCCAGAGCTTCCTCCTCTCTATCCCACGCACAGAACCACTTCAAACTTGTTGATCCTCTTGAGGATCCTGAAGCGCTGCAACCCCTTTTGCCAGATTCACCGGATCTGACCCTGTGGCGCCCAGAGTGCCAACAAGAAATTATCTCGCCACAGTGCCTGACAGTTGCTGAATCTGCTGATGCTATAAATAGCCCCAGATGGGGTTAATTCCTCCTGAGATTGACACAGACTGTCAATCTCCCTCAGCGCTGCTCAGGGATGAAGCCGCTCAGAGATCCCTGAAGTCCTCAGGGGTAATTCGCCACTCTGAGGCAATTCGCAATATTGCCCTCAGGGTTGGCTATGGCGAATTAGCCTTGTTCTCGCCACTTCCTAACAAGCGCCCTGACAGGCTCAGTGCGCTTGCTCAGTACAAACACTGAACTTCTGAATTCACTGCTTGAACTCTTCTTCCCTGCTGACTCTGTACTGGGGAAGATGAATCACCATCAACCCCTCGCCAGTATATCGCCAGATGAAGAAGATGCCCCAGTTGCACTCAACCCTCAGGGCTCCAATTCCAATCCCGCTCCAATACCAACTGTTATGAACTTGGTTGTCTGACGATTTTTACCGCCACTCACACACAGACAGTCTCATACACACCCATACATGCATAAGAGAAGGGGGAGAGGAGACAGAGTCCAACTGTACACAAATCAGAGTATGTAGCGGAAGTTCAGCCATGCACAGATGGGGAGAAGACACTGCGAGATTCTCACTCTCTGACAAACTCCCAACAACCAATCACAA